TGGGGGCTTTGTGTGCCAATTTGGCCTTGATTGGTCATTGGATGAGGGTCGCAGTGGTTTCAGTAAGTGAGTAAAGATACTGCAAATCCCATCATCCATGGTCCATCCCCCTTAGAACTGCATCAGGATGTAGAGTGGGCCATGAGTACTCTGTGTGCCAAGTTTGGGCCTGGTCTGTGATTTGTAAGGGCTACAATGTTCTGTGGGAAGTGAATCGGGTGAAGGTACTGCAAATCCCATCATTAGTGGCCCATCCTGGCCTGAACTGCACTGGAAGTCCCATCATCCATCGTCCGTCCTGCTCCAAACAGCATCGGGATGTAGCGTGGGTCAAGGTGGCTCTGTGTGCCAAGTTTGGTCTTGATCGGACATTAGTAAGGGTTGCAGCAGTCTTGTGAAGGGAGTGGAGGTACTTGAAGTCCCATCATCCATGGTCTGTCCTCCAAAGTGCACCAGGATGTAGAGTGGGTCATGGGGACTCTGTGTGCCAAGTTTGGTCTTGATCGGAGTCAGTGGTCTCAGGAAGTGAGTGAAGTGACTGCAAGTCCCATCATCCATTGTCAAATTCTTCCAAACCACACCAGTAGAGTGGGTCATGCGGGCTCTCTGTGTAAATTGTGGTCCTGATCCATCATTGTTGGCAGTTGTAATGGTCTTAGGACGGGAGTGCAGGTATTGCAAATCCCATCGTCCATGGTGCATCCTCCTCCAAACCGCACCAGGATGTAGAGTGCGTCATGGAGACTCAGTGTGCCAAGTTTGGTCTTTATCGGTAATTGGATGAGGGTTGCAGTGGTCTCAAGAATTGAGCAAAGGTACTGCAAGTCCCATAATCCATGGTCCATCCCCGGCCAAACCACACCAGGACGTAAAGTGGGTCATGAGAGGTCTATGTGCCAAGTTTGGTCCTGATCAGTCATTGGATGAGGTTAACAGCGGTCTCAGAATGTGAGTGATGGTACTGCAAGTCCCATCATCCATGGTTCATCCTCCTCCAAACTACAGTAGGATGTCGAGTGGGTCATGGGGGCTCTGTGTGCCAAGTCTGGTCTGTATTGGTAATTGTCTGACTCAGCCCCCTCTGGCCTTTTCCTTTCCTCTGTTTGTCGTCTCGGAATCTTGGAATTGAGGCTGGCCAATCAGAGACCATATGCAAATTTCCTTCTCATGTCCCCGTTTCTGCCATGAACTCTTTTCTCCACCAGGGGCTCCTATTGAAGCTGGCCAATCAGAGACCATATGCAAATAGCACCACTGGGGCAGCCAATCCGAATGTTGGAGCTTTCAGGCTGGCCAATCAAAACGCTGGCACATACTCCTCCCGTCGCACCGCCACACTTTTGTCCGCCGCATACAAACTTTCACCTTTATTATATACATAGACATAGATAGATATAGATATAGATTATTATTATTATAACTTTATTTGTACCCCGCTAGCATCTCCCAAGGGATTCGATGCGGCTTACAACAGGCCGGAGCCCAACACAATACAACAATACAATACATAGCAAATAAAACAGTTAAGCAGAAAAACAATAAAACAATAGCAATACAACAAGACATTATTAAAAACTGAGCCGGCCGGAGTAGGGGTACAGGATTAAAAAGTGCTGAAGTGTCGGAGGGATATGGGATTAAAATATAAGTGCAGTGTGCAGTGAGCGGTGATCTTGGTTCTACTAAAGTGCTTCTGGGATTTGGTAGTGGGGTTCCTAATCTGAAAAGGCACGTTGGAACAGCCAGGTTTTCAGATTCTTTCTGAAAACCGCCAAAGTAGGGGCTTGTCTGAGATCTTTCGGGAGGGCATTCCAGAGGCGGGGGGCCACCACAGAGAAGGCCCTGTCTCGCGTCCCCACCAAACGCGCCTGTGACATGGGCGGAATCATGAGCAGGGCCTCTCCTGATGACCGGAGTGAGCGTGTGGGTTCGTAGACAGCGATGCGGTCACGCAGGTAGGGTGGTCCCAAACCGTTCAGGGCTTTGTAGGTAAGCACCTGCACCTTAAATTGGGCTCGGAAAATAAACGGCAGCCAGTGGAGCTCCTTAAACAGGAGGGTTGACCTCTCTCTGTAATGGGCCCCAGTTAACATCCTGGCTGCTGCCCGTTGGACCAATTGGAATTTCCGAGCCATTTTCAAGGGCAGCCCCACGTAGAGCGCATTGCAGTAATCCAGTCTAGAGGTGACTAAGGCATGGACCACCCCGGCCAGATCAGCCTTAGCGAGGTACGGGCGCAGCTGGCGCACAAGTCTCAGTTGTGCAAAAGCCCTCCCGGCCACCGCCGACGCCTGAGCCTCAAGCGTGAGCGATGAGTCCAGGAGGACTCCCAAGCTGCGGACCTGTGGCTTCAGGGGGAGTGTAACCCCGTCCAACACAGGTTGCCACCCTATACCCCGAATCTGGTTTACGATCGACCAGGAGGACCTCTGTCTTGTCGGGATTGATCTTCAGCTTGTTCATCCTCATCCAGATGGACACAGCGGCCAGGCACTCGTCTAGCACCCGAGAGGCCTCCTTGGAATTAGGTGGAAAAGAGTAGTAGAGTTGTGCGTCATCTGCGTAGAGATGGCACCCAACTCCAAAACTCCGGATGACCTCTCCCAGCGGTTTCATGTAGATGTTAAAAAGCATGGGAGATAGAATAGAGCCTTGCGGGACCCCACAGGTCAAAGGCCAGGGGTCCGAGCAGGCATCTCCCAGCTTCACCATCTGGGTTCGTCCCTCCAGGAAGGACCGGAGCCACGACAGAACCGTGCCCCCGAGACCCATCCCAGAGAGGCGACCCAGAAGGATACCATGATCGATGGTATCGAAAGCCGCTGAGATGTCCAAGAGAACCAGTAGGGTCACACTCCCCCTATCCAGTCCTCTACGGAGGTCATCCACCAAGGCGACCAAGGCTGTCTCGGTGCCATGACCAGGCCTGAAACCAGACTGTGCCCGATCTAGGTAATTGATGTCATCCAGGAAGCCCTGGAGCTGGAGGGCGACCACCCGCTCCAGCACCTTACCCAAGAAAGGAAGGTTGGAGATCGGTCTGTAATTGTTCAGCACCGTAGAGTCAAGGGACGACTTTTTAAGGAGTGGGCGAACCACAGCCTGTTTCAAATTAGATGGAAAAATCCCTTGCTCCAACGATGCGTTAATGATCAACACAAACCAATCAACCAACCCCTCCTTGGCAGATTTAATAAGCCAGGATGGGCAAGGGTCTAGGGCCGAAGTGGTCGCCCTCACAGCCCCAAGAACCTCCTCCACGGTCTCAGGAAGAACAAGCCGAAAAGAATCCCACAAAATTGGACAAGCAGATGCCTCAGTCACCTCCTCTGGCACTGCGATGAAATTGGAGTCGAGCTCAAGACGTATCTGGGCAACTTTGCCTGCAAAATGGTGTGCGAAATCGCAACACCGAGCTGCTGGGTCGTCAGAGATCTCCTCCGCCACAGGTGGGTGAAGGAGCTCCCCGACAACCCGAAACAGCTCTGATGACCTATTTGCTGCAGACGCTATCCGGGTGGTCGTGAAAGACTCCCTGGCCGCCCGTATAGCCACGGAGTATGCCCTAAGAGAGGCCCTAGCCCGTGCTTGATCAGACACGTCCCGAGATTTCCTCCACTTGCGCTCTAGCCCCCTTCTCGTGTGCTTCATCACAGCCAACTCCTCGGTAAACCACGGAGACGGCCTGTCATGACGCAACGAGATGGGGCGTTCGGGAGCGATCGTGTCTATCGCCCTGGACATCTCCTTATTGTAAAGGTCGACCAAGGCGTCAACAGGATCACCAGGCTCCATGGCAGGAAGAACCCCAAGATTCCTCAGGAATCCATCTGGATCTATCAGTCTCCTGGGGCGGACCATCTTAATTTGTCCTCCACCCCTGCGAAGGTTGGGGGTCGCAGCGAGCCTAAAGCTGACCAGATAATGATCTGACCATGACACTGGAAGGATGTTAGGTTCTGTTCGTTCTTTTTGACACTAGTTTTTTTTTGGGGGGGGGGGTGGCTTGAGTTCCTTGTCTAGAATATTTTTTTTTCCTGTATCTCTCAGGCACTGAGTAGCATTAACTTTCCCTTGAACAATGTCTGGTGTGCAGGGCTGAAGAAATTTTCCTCAGTTCATCCAGACACCCTTGGCAGGAGGACCACACAGGGGACTTTTGATCATGTGGATCCCAAGGGCTTCAGAATTGGGTGGAGGATTGGGTTTATCCATCAACTCTTTGAATGATTCCATCATCGTTGCCTCTGAAAAATCCTGCAAATCTCTTGGGAAGGCAGGCGGACAAATGTCAGCATGCTGGAAGAAGCAAAGACCACCAACGCTCAAGCGATGCTCCTATGCCACCAAATCTGCTGGACTGGCCATGTTGTCCGAACATCCTATCACCACCTCTCAAAGCAGTCACTATACTCCTAACTCAAGAATGGAAAATGTAATGTTGGTGGACAGGAAAAAAAAGATTTAAGGATGGGCTTAAAGCCATCCATATAAACTGTGGCATAGACACCGAGAACAGGGAAGCCCTGGCCCTTGAGCACTCCAACTGGAGGGCAGCTGTGACCAGTGCCGTGGAATTCAAAGAGGCTTGAATAGAGGGTGAAAGGGAGAAATGTGCCAAGAGGAAGATGCGTCAAGCCAACCCTGACCAGGACCACCTTCCACCTGGAAAGCATTGTCCTCACTGCGGGAGAACATGCGGATCAAGAATAGGGCTCTACAGCCACCTACGGACCCAATGCCATGACACTACACTTGGAGGACCAACATCCTTGGGCTATGAGGGATCGCCTAAGTAAAAGTAAGTAAGTAAGTTATCCCTCAACAGACAGGTTTGTCTGCATCCAACTCTATCTGCAGCAGTGACCAATAAAGTTGTCACTACTTCTTCTCCATATATTGTGCACATTGCATGAAGTGAAACTCACCCATGGATACACAATAGTCTATTAATGAAAATTGTTCTGGTCTATCTTTCAATATACTCTTGTTTCCTTTAGGAATGGCTAGCTTGCATCGTGTTGGAGTATTCTTATTTTCTGCCTCTTCTGGTGGACTGCCTACTGAAGAAATAACATTTGCAACACTCCTCCAGCAGAAGGGTTACACCACAGCTCTTATAGGTGAGACAGGATGATATATACATGTTTGCTTTGTTGGTATTAGATGTGTATCTCTTGCTTTGGGATTTGAAAATTGTCTTTCAAAACAGCTCACAAGTGAAAAATGGAATATCAAACAAGTAAACAGCAAAATTTTAAATACATCGGGCTTCTTTTGAAAGCTCTGGATCAGTTTCAGAGCTAGATCATGTGGTCAGTGTATACCTAGTCTGGAAAACCACAGAAACATTTTTGAGAATGTTCATCTTCGTTGAACACTAACTAGAATGGGAATTGTATGGTGACAGCAAATTGGTCACGAGGGATTTCTATACTAAGAGAAGAGGGGTTACCTGTCCTTGTTTATTCTTTTAAAGGGGTAGGAAATCTGTAAACCTACATTTTGCATATCCATCTGAAATACTTACATGGTTCTTTTCCCTTAGGCAAATGGCATCTTGGAATTAACTGCCACAGTAAAGATGACTACTGCCACCACCCACTAAATCATGGCTTTAATTATTTCTATGGAATCCCTGTGAACAACATCAGAGACTGCAAACCTGAGCATGGAAGTGTTTTTCAAAGGGGGCTTAAAATGTATCTTCCTACAACACTACAGATCACTGGGATTGCTCTAATCTCCTTGGAGGTTTTACATTATATTGGTCTTCTCCGAATTTCTCACAGAGTATTGGGCTTTGTCTTCTTAATGGCTGCAGTGTTAATTGGAATCTTGCTGTTCTTCTTCTATAACTTTCGATATCTGAATTGCTTCTTGATGAGAAATCACAGTATTATCCAGCAGCCCTGGAGCTACGAGAACCTCACCCAAAGGCTTACAGAAGAAGCCAAAAGATTTATCAGAAGGTAGATGTTTTCATTTCTAAGGGGCTAGAATTCCATTGTGATGGATTTCTTACTGTGACATGTTGAATAACTATCAATAGTTTTACAGGTCTTCCACATCACAACAGACTTCTGGAACATCAGTTATTCTTGTAGGTAGAGAGCTACATCAGTTATGGCCAAATTGTCCTCACTCATCACAAGCGCGACGAGAGAGAGGGCCTTCTCTGTGGTGGCCCCTCAGCTTTGGAATTCACTCCCCAGAGATATTAGGCAAGCCCCCACCCTGGAAATCTTTAGGAGGAGCCTGAAAACTTGGCTGTTCCAATGTGCCTTCAATGACTGAATGTACGATAATCCCTGACCAAACTCTGCATAAAATGCCCTCAGAAGCCCTTTATTATCTGGTTTGTGCAATGAACTTTTACCTTATCCCCCGGATCCCCTTCCTGATATTTTACACTGCTCTTTCTCCCGGTGTTTTAAAGTTTTAATTTTTGTACCGGCCCTGCCCATTGTGTTCATTTTTAGTGGTTTATCGTTTTGATTTCATATTGTTGTGCTGTATATTTACATTTTGTATTTTTGTATCTTATGTTATTTTATTTTCTGATTTTCTGTTGTGTTTTTGTGTTATATTGTGTTTCTGTATTGATGGGCATGGCCTCATGTAAGCCACCCTGAGTCCCCTTTAGGGAGATGGTGGCGGGGTATAAAGTTTATTATTATCATTATCATCATCATCATCATCATTATTATTATTATTAAATCCCAAACCAAATTTTGGGCAGATATGAGGCAAAGTAGACTTCTTTCTAAAATTTGCAAAACTGAAGAAAATCCTGCCTAAAAAACTTTGTGTGTATCTCCACCTGAAGAAAAACAATTTTTTTATAGCTCATCAAATTCTGATCATGCATAATTTCTAATTCTTTTCTTTTTCTTTCAATAGAATCAATCTCTTATTATGACTTCGTCAAATCATTTTTTTAATCGCACTGTAAATTTTCTTGCTTTTTATATTTTTGTGTTAGTCCTCATTGCACAGGATTCAATCCTTGATACATGAGATCTGAAGTGCTATGAGCCTGAAAATATTTATTTCCTGTATTAAACATTTATTTTAATGTATAGTTAATTAAAGTGAAAATATACTATGACCATGTGCTAGTTTAATTAATACTACATCTAGTGCATTTTACAGTTCCATCTTTCTGGAATTTGCTCAGTAGATTATTCCCCTTCCTTAAAAGGCATTCACTTATTTGAAGTTAAAATAAATATTAATATTCCTCCAGTGGATCATTAATAAACCTGGAATGTTTGGCCACTTCTTTTCAGTCCCCCCCCAACCCCCCCCCCCCAAAGTCCCATACCAAATCATATTTGAACAACATACTATATAAGCTGTCTTGTGTGTGATAAATAATGGTTGTTATGCATTTTCTGTCAACTATTTTGAAGCCTTCCAAATTATTTAATGTTTTATATTGTGAGAGGAAGTCATAGGGAGGAGGGAGCAAGCCTGTTTTCTGCTGCCCTGGAGACTAGGATGCGGAACAATGGCTTCAAACTACAAGAAAGGAGATTCCATCTGAACATTAGGAAAAAACTTCCTGACTGTGAGAGCTGTTCAGCAGTGGAACTCTCTGTCCCAGAGTGTGGTGGAGGCTCCTTCTTTTGGAGGCTTTTAAACAGAGGCTGGATGGCCATCTGTCGGGGGTGCTTTGAATGCAATTTTCCTTCATCTTGGCAGGGGTTGGACTGGATGGCCCATGTGGTCTCTTCCAACTCTATGATTCTATGATTCTATTGTGAAAACAATTTTCATGTTTTGCTATTCCAATCACTGCTTAGCAGCAGACAATCCTGAAAGTGTATAGGTAGAGTACATTCAGTTGGGATGCCATAATTTTAGAGCTGGAGTTTCGAGTGTATGGGATCTGAAATCAAAGAGCTTGCAACATCTCATGGTGTATTTTTCTTAAATGAATATCAGGGAAACAGGAGATGGGATAATGCTGATTAGGGAGATGGGGTAATGCTGATAGCAGATAGAGAAAAGGCAGAACTACATAGGGGATAGGGAAAAGGCAGAACTACGTACTGAGGCCTTCTTTTTCTCAGTCTTCTCATAAAAAGAAAGCTTTCCTCAACCTCAGCATTATGGAGTGGATGAAAGATTTGGGGAAATCCAACCGCAAGTAGGGAAACAAGTCATCCAGGTATGCCTGGCTGCTCTAGATGAATTCAAGTCCCCAGGGCCAGATCAACAACATCCAAGAGTATAGAAGGAACTATCGAAAGTTATTTCAGAACCACTGGCAATTATCTTTGAGAGTTCTTGGAGAATGGGACAAGTCCCAGCAGAGTGGAGGAGGGCAAATGTGGTCCCTATCTTCAAGAACGGAAAGAAGGATGACCCAAAAAATTACCATCAGCCTCACATTGATACCAGACAAGATTCTGGAAAACATTGTTAAGGAAGTGGTCTGCAAACACTTAAAAACAAATGCAGCCATTGCTAACAGTCACCATAGATTGATCAAAAACAAGCCAGGCCAGACTAATCTGATCTCTTTTTTTCGATAGAGTTACAAGCTGGGTCAATGCAGGGAATGCTGTGGTTGTAGCTTATCTGGATTTCAGTAAGGCCTTCAACAAGGTTCCCCATGACCTTCTGGCAAACAAACTAGTCAAATCTGGGCTAGGCAAAACTACGGTTAGGTGGATCTGTAATTGGTTAAGCGAACAAACACAAAGGGTGATTCTTCCCAATGCTTCCTCTTCATCCTGGGAATACGTGACGAGTGGAGTATCATAAGCAGGTTTCCGTCCTGGGCCCGGTCCTGTTCATCATCTTTATTCAGCACTGGAACTCTCTCTCTGCTCTGGAATGTGGTGGAGGTTCCTTCTTTGGAGGCTTTTAAACAGAGGCTGGATAGCCATCAGTTGTGAGTGCTTTGAATGTTATTTTCCTGCTTCTTGGCAGTGTGGTTGGTCCACAAGGTCTCTTCCAACTCGATGATTCTATGATGCTATGAGACTCCATGATGGGGGTTCACACAGTATTTTACTAGCTATGCTGCCTATTAGTACCTAGTGCTCACCTTTCTAAAAGGAAAAAAAAGTAAAGCAAGAGTTCCTCTCTTTCTTCCTATCCTATTCTGGTAGATTTCTATATCATGTATAGAGGCTAATGTGAATGTAGCAGGCCTGGCTACCCATTTCTCTTCTACACAATGGATGACATCAAGAATGCGAAGGAGGGAACATAAGAAAGATAGAGCCAGCAAATATATTGTGTGTTCAGATGTGGGAACTGCTTTGTGACAACAAAATGCAGACCACATACAAATTGGGAATGGAAAAAAACCCCTACAACGTTATTTAGTTACAGCTAAATGCAAGCCCTGACTTGAACATGAGTCTTGATCCCAACATTGGCCACCCGACCAATGAGCGACTGATCCAGCTAAGTACTAGATTCCAACAGATAAGATCTTGTTATCTAGCCTTGGACACTATCTGCCCATCGAGGTGTGGAGTTTGTTTGCCCCTCTGACTGGGTGAGATCTTGGGCCACACACTCCTAGATCCAACACCAGGATCCTCTTTCTTGACCAATGCCAAAAGCAACATGCTCAATCCTGGATCCATGACCCATGCCAACTGCCCCTCTACAATGTTATGTTGATAGAAATGTCGCAAAATTGTGATCATGACAATCCAGAAAAAATAGAGGGTGAGCCAGTGGGTTGAACCTTGAGTCTCCTCCCCTTAAATGTCTCAACTGTAATGAAAACTCTCATCCAGAAACACCTGCTAGGTCTGAAAGCCTGCCAGCCAAAGTACAGGTGGCAGTAGTAAATCTTGGGGGGTCAACTGTGATCCAGCCATGGCTTGAAGCTATGGCAGCCCGACTGACCCTGCTCTATTTCATCTGTATGCCCCACATTTCCGATTCTCCCTATTCAATTAGTAAAGAATGAGAAGATGAATGCCAGAAAAGAGCTCTGTATTTTTGCATTATCATGTTAATGGGCATAGACAATACTATGAATTGGACAGCTACCTCAGCTCGTTGGAAGTCATACACTACCTCATGTTTTTAATGTCCTCTTAATTTATCTTGTGACCTGTGAGATTTTATCATGGTAAATGTGTGTGATGTGTTGGATTATGTTTATGTAAGTTTTAATCTTTGGCTATTTTTTGGTTTAGTTCATAGGCTTATATCAAGATTGAACTATTTATTGTTTTTCACTTGATTTGTTGTTTGTCCATTTGTGGCATTTAATTTTTGCCATTTTGTTGCTTGCTGGAAACCGCCATGAGTCCCTTAAGGGAGATAGGGTGGGTTACAAATAAAGTATTATTATTATTTGAAACACAACAAGATGAGTCCACAACAAAGAAGATCGCTCTGCTAGCTTTTGTATTGAATCACACATCGGACACTTCCCAAGTGTCTAGGACTGTGTGATGTCCTAGACATCATCATCATCATCGTCATCATCATCATCATGAATAAGAATTATCACCTCCCTCTACTGAAGTGTGTATGTGTTTGTATTTGTAAGTAAATAAATGTATACTATTTTCTTGAGGATGACAAAAATCCTTTTTTAGATTAATGGGAAAGCAAAGTATCCATTATTTTGAGATCTGGTACATTGGGAGACATAAGACGGTGAAATGAAAAGAAAAAAGAAAAAGTCAAATGTATGTAGCTGTTTTGAAAGCTTAAAAATACTCTGCATAGAAGCAGATAAGTGACACACGCACACTTTTGAAAATTGCCATGTTCTTCCCATTTTTGCTCTGTACTTGAAGAATACAGTAACACTCTGCTCTTGTTTGTTCTTGACACTTTTAAAAAACATTTTTCTTCGCTCATTTAAATTTAGTCATACTTTAAATGCCACTTTGGCATGATATACTTACAGCTATAAAAAAGAGCTACACCAACTGTTTGCAGCAACAAATACTTTTTGACTGAAATAACAGTCAGCATACTTTGTTCATTAGTGAGGAGGCCATAAAGCACTCCATTTCCAGAGGTATTAATTTTTAAATAAAATAGGGCATAGCAATAAATCCTATTATTAGGTATACAGAATGAGCACACACACATACATTCAATTCAGGGTCAATGACAGAGTTTGGCATGTTTGAGACCCATGTCCCTATGTTATGGAAGTCACTGCCAGTCTACAGAAGGGGTAGGAACTATGCAGCTATCCATATAATGTTGGACTACAATTCCCAGCAATTCTAATCAGTGCAGCWAGTTGGTGAGGAATGCTGGCATTTTCATCACTGATTATACCGAGATAACAGTTCAACAACTCGGGGGGGGGGGGATATAGGGCAACACACCTTGACCTATATCCCATTTGTATTCTCACATAGCATTAGACTTATTTTGAATTTAATCTATATAAGTGTTAACCATAAAACAGTAGATTCAATTGRCCTATTTTTGCTGGTGCTAGCAATTGCAGTTAGGCCATTGTTTTTGGTGTGTGTTTAAGTCAATTCTGATTTTGGTGGCTCTGAACTGAATCTATCACAGGTTTTTGGTGACTCAGAATGTGTGATTCACCTAAGATCACCCAGTGGGTTTCCATGACCTAGACTCAGGGGCCAATACTTAAAGCATTACACCGTGCTGGTCATATATTGTACATATACTATAAGTATTTCAAATTTTTAAAAAGGCTATATGAAATATAAATCTATAGCAGGTTGGGCTGGATGGCCCTTGTGGTCTCTTCCAGCTCTATGAGTCTGTGAAATCCATGAACCATGAACTGCATCCCCAATTACTTTTCCACAGATGTCTTGCATCTTACATGGGGGCTTCTAGTTCCTTTTCTGACCTATTTATGTCTCTCTCTTTCTCTGTTAAAAAAAAACACTCATGGTTGATGTGGAAGTGAGTCAGCTCCTGAGATTTTCTCTTTTTTTAACAGATAAGATTTTTCAAGGAAGAAAAGAAATATTTAACAGCTATCAAGAAGAATTACTGTGCATGTTAAAGAATGTCAGGTTGAGCTTCTAAGGTTTCATTGCCATGTGAATGGATATGACTGTCTGCTCTATGCAAGCACCATGTTTGCTTTATTGTCCTTCCAATGAATAAAACTTAGATTTGTTGAGAAAGGAAGGTCTGTCTTGGTAAATTGTGTAGAAGGGGATGGCAGTAAATTTTCAAAGGAGCTGTTTGCTGAAGTGTGCCAGTTAATAAAACAGGACTTTAAGTGTTATTGTCAAATCTTCCTCCCACTTATAAGCTGATGTGCCATCCTATTTTCAAGGTCACAGGAGAGGTAGTCATTCATGATTTCTCTTTCATCCAAAAAAGAAGATTTAAAATAAGAAAAATTGCCATCACATACTTTTTAATCTTAAGAATATTAATAGGTGAGATTCTTTTACCTGAAAGCTTGCTGTCAATCAATGCTGGTGGGCTTTAGACCCTTCTGCAGGAACCATTGATTAGATATCTGTTCTTGGAGTTAGAACTCAGTGTTACAGAGCCATCTTTTATATTGCTTCAGGGGTTGTTATTTCCAGAAAATGGGCATTTGTAATAGAAGTGGTGACTTGTACCTGTCCTGTATTTATTGCTGTAATCCCGTGTTCCCATTAGATGCTGTTACAAGAGGTGTAAGTTCTCTCTTTGGTACTGTTTTTAATCAATCTGCCTTGAGCTATTTTGTCCTCCTATATGGGAAATGGGATTGCTCTCCAAAACTTTTAGGTCTGAGCTCTCAACCCAAGATTTTGTTTTGATTCATTACTATATGGTGGGTGACAGTGAGCATTTTCACCCCCAGTTACAACTTCTAGCACCAGTGCCAAAAAGCTATTTCTACCTGCATGTCGTTTGAGCAAAGTACTGTATTAATTAAATTAATTACACTGATGATGACAATTTATGACTGTTATTATGCATACTTATGTGTACATTTTGTATTTATTTTTCTTCTCTGAAATGGGGCAACTTTCTTCTACTTCTATGTGTTTTAGAGCACAATTTCTTAGTAAATGTAATCAAGAGTGAAAGATGATAGTGGTTATAGTTCAGCATCTCTGAAGGGCAACAGCTTTAGAAAAGTTGTGTGTAATGTATTCATATTTTGCAAATCTCTGTTTTAGTAATTTTGCACCAAAATTAATAAATAATGTGTATTTGGTATATAATGTGCACATGCACACACACAGGAAACAATTTTTGTGCAACCTCTTATGCTATTCCTTTAAGGAAAAAAAGTAGATTTTGCAGGGAAAAAATATCAGTTTTGCACAAAAGGTCCTGAAAATATCTGGAAAATATTTGTTTATTGAAAATAAGCTATCTAAAAATTATAATTTTATATAGTCACAATTTTGTGCATAAAAACTATTTTAAACATCTAATTTTACATTCCTAAAACACGTGGCTATCTGAAAACTAGCTTTTTACCTTTAACAATGGTTTGTTTTGCTTTTTTGCTCAAACCACCAGTGTTTATGCAAAAAAAAACTCACCTGAATTTCTGTGTAGATTAGTTTTTTGAAAGACTTTAGGACATGAGAATATGTGCCAATAATGCATAGAAAGTAATTCATCCTTGAGCTCAAGGTTAAAATAGTCTAATATTTGCACCCATGGCATAGACTGTGACCTAGTGACTCAAACTAAAGGTCTCTATGTATATAAAGATGGCAATATGTTGATACAATTGTATACATTCCTTGAATTCTAAATTATTATTTCCCCCTGCCTTTTTTTTCCTCTTGCAGGAACACTGATGCACCGTTTCTACTTTTTCTTTCTTACCCTCAAGTGCACACAGCTTTGTTTGCTTCTCAGTCTTTCAGAGGGAAAAGCAAACATGGTTTATATGGGGATGCTGTAGAAGAGATGGACTGGAGCATAGGTATGTTATGTGTCTATTCATACAGTTTCCATTTCCTTTTCTAATTGCCTTTTAGATATATGAGCAGCCTTGTACAGTCTACAGTGGCGCAAAATGGACATTGCCATGCAGAAAGGTAACTCCTCAAAATTCTATCTTATTTCTAGACATGTGTGGGTCAAAATAACATCAGGATGCATCTCTAAGACATAATATTGAATAGTTTAAAACCTGAAAGTTAAATGCAAAAATGTCCTCCTCATTCTGAATGATCAAAGTGGAAGTAAGAGCTAAAGTAGCCCCTGTTCACAAAGATTTGTAATGAGATAATGGTGACATTTATCAAGTGAAGGTATTAGTAGACATAGTCAGGTAAATTGACCCAGCTCACTATCCTTTTGTCTTTCCTTCCCATAATTATCAGTGGTGGTAGGACAGATCATGCTATAATGACATCATGTGTGGTGTTTGCAGTCCAAACTTTAGGATTTTGAAAAAATGCATTGGGTTTTCTTTTTGTCATTTTCTCCATCCACACTATTCCATCCTTTCTACTCTGTCACAGAAGCAATTATAATCCTTCAAAAGTAAGAAAAATGTTCTTATGTGCAGTAATATTTTCTGCTTTGAGCATGAGGCAAAACCTTTGATAGTACTTGAACAGCTGGGTAGGAATGGAAAAAATATGCAAATACATTCATAGTGGTCAAAACTTTTTTTCCTACTGTTGGAAAACCTTGATGAGAATAACTTCAGGCTGATGAGAATCTCCACATATTGGGATTTATTCTATACTAAATTATTTGTGCTTTCACACTCAGTAAACATTATTTCTGCACACAAAATAATATATCTTTGCAGATATATCACTTTCAGTGCAGACAATCTCTATATCACATATCTACAAAATACAATTTGTATTTTCTGCACAGAACAATAAAAAGTACATGCAAACTTTCAAAACCTGCAATTTTTGAAGACCTTCTTGTAAACAGGGAAAACATGCTAGAATTACTTATTGTTGTTTTCAAAGTCTAATTTAGTAAACTATTGCCATTCTACTTTTGTGTAAGAGCCTTAATCTCAAAAACTTTGATAACAAGACACTATTTTGGCTATGTGAATGTAGGAGGACTTGCTTCTATGGATATGCAGTATTGCGTTGCCATTCTTCTACATAACAGGATGAGATTGGGAAGGGGAAATAATGTTCACTGAAAGTGCCTCATACTTTGGCATCTTACAGAACAATCTAAAAAACAATAGCATTAGGGTTGCATTCTCTTAAGTGCTACCTAGGCAATCTTGTTCCCATTCTGTCATCAGATTGTGGGGCTTCTTCTTCATTAATTCATTTTGTATTGGACACCCAGCTGCATGAAATGAGTTCAAAATACATAGCCTTTGGGACCCTTATATGGCAGGAAAAGCCTGCTTTTTTTACATCAAGCCCACAGCATGCGTTAATCTGCTGTTATTGCTATGTAATAGGATTATGGACCAAACAAATCCAAAATTCTGATTAATTTTCTAAATGTCTGTTATTCCAGTAATATCCAGAAGGACATACCAACAACTTTGCTTTTTTGCCTTATCCAAACTCAAAAACAAAAAGAGTACTGTTGGACAGATTAGATGCTATATACAAATTAGGCATGTGATATACAAATATAGCATGCCCTGGTTTTCAAATTATACTGATTAAGCACTATCAGCTGATAGTGGAAGAGACTGAACAATCATTTGCTCATATAAGTAGTTTCTAAACCAGTGGGGGAAATTCTGCTCTCATCAGGAAGTTGTTGAAATTCCCAGCATTCCTCAACTTTGTTCAACACTAACACAAAATGCAGGACCAATCTGGGATACCATACACTAGATCAGGCCTTTATAGTGTCCTTACATGAACTCATTCAACTATCAGAGGTGGGAATGGCTACTGCCCAGACACAATGAACACAGTTTGGCATTGCTGAACATCCACCTTAGGGGTCCTGCCCCCCCCCCCACTATGTCACAGCTATTCCCAGTCATTCCACAACACCTACCTTCTTCTTACCTCTCTGCATGACATCAGCCAGAGTGCCACCATACTAGAGAGCTGTGGGGGGAAGCTCCTATCTCCCTTGGCAAATAAGCACTCTGGGTGGTGTGTCAGAGCTAGGGGCTGGCGACAATGGGGGGGGGGGGAAGACATGGGACTGCCATCCTGTGTCCCTGGGCTGCCTAATCCCAGGGAATGTGGAATGGCAGTGAAGACAGTTGTGCTGTTTCTGGATAGGAAAAAGGCCAACTGTCTTTCCTTGCCCTGGGTCAGGATTCAGACTTTTCTCCAACTTTATTTAACCTCGGGCAAAGCTGAGTTAAGGTGACCTTGCCCCAGATTAAGCCAAATCAGTTTCATGCAGCATTTAGCCACTATGGGGCTGATCTGGGTCCACACTGACCTAAGTGGTCTGTGTAGGTAAGCTCAGTGTCTATTAATGATGATGATGACTATGACATAAGGTTGAGTTGGAAGCTACACAAAGCCTCATAGAGCAAAACTTTCAGAGATTTTATCAAGTTCTGCAAGGGCTCTACTTTCTTTGTGGGAATATTGGAATGGCTCTTCATTTCTAGAGGTAATTATCCATGAAAACAAGTTTGTACTTGAAACAATCAAGCTGAAAGAACAGCAGTGCTAAAAGATAATGTTCGCTTACATTCCTCCCACCCATTCACCTTATACACATTTGTGGTTTCAGTATAGCAGAGTATGAAATTATCTTCGGTAAACAATGCTATATAATTTTAAATTATTACTATTAAGCTGATATATGCTTAGCAATGAACTTTAAAACAAGAAACTCTGATTGTAAACACACAAAGTTCAACCTAATTCACATCTCTACTTCAAATTTAGCATCAGAATTGAGTGGATAGATTTCAGGAGTACCATCAAGTTACTGTGATCGTTCAAGAGAGAGATATTTTCCTGTGCCAGCTGTCCTCAAACACTACACTTTAAAGTGATGTTTGTTAAAACAGAGAAAACTGGTTAATCTGTCATTACCAGAACTAATAATATTTTACCACCTTGGATGTATTTGCTACTTATTCCCTTTCAGCTAGGAAACTATTCATCTTAATGAATTTGTTCTGTACACATTATCCTGTTGACAAAATAAGTATAGAATTGATCAATGCTTTGATATCTAGTGCATGATTATATTGCAAGATTTTGAGCAGGGAGCTATAATCATAAACATTGTGGTCACTAAATTTGGTTCCAAACAAGAGAATTTTGGACTGAAATCTTGACACTAGTATTATCACATCACGTTTGTTATTATGAAAGAATGTACAAAAGCCAACCAACCACTCTAAATCAAAATATGCAACTCACCTAACAATATTCTTGCATCAAGTATATTTATTTTAATACTACATGCACAAAGTGCTTGAACTCCAAAACAAAGTTCAAACATTAATGGCAAGACGTTTTGTTCTAGATATTTTGAGTTCTTAATGATTGCCTATCACTTCACCACAACTATTAAAAAGAGTTTCCATGAATTTCTCAAAAAAGAAAAAAAGAAAAGAAATGAGCCCCAGAGAGACTCATACAGCGTCTGAATTTCATGTGGCTCAAACTGAATGGGGATACGTTGTAGTATAAAATCAATAAGAAACCATTAGCTCTGAAAAATGCCAATGAAATCAGTTGGAATCAAAGGAAGCATATAGTGCTGAAGCCTTGAAAGAATCTTCTAGAATGCCTTCTCTCATGCCACCTTGATTGCATTTTACTTGTGGGTTTTCCTACCCACCTTATCAGAAACTCACTTAGGAAATTACATCAGAAAGTAATATATAGTTAGAGAAGAAGAGAAATAATTATTTAAAATGGCATCTGTTATTGATACTTTAAGGATATGTCTTGTAATTCAGATACCCACTTGACCCATTTTTTTCTAAAAAAATCGAAACTTTGGTGGGTGCAGCAGAGAAAAAAGTTTTACAGGTACAGAATAGCCCTAGCAAACCATAAAGGCTCTGTTGTTTTCTTGCTTTAAAATGCAAACTCATTGTTAGAGGTCATAAACCACTGAGAGAGCACATAAGTTGGATGGAGAAATCTCCATCTCAATCCTTGAAAAGGCACAAAAACCTTCTGTCGCTCAAACTCCAAAGGAGTTATACAAGTCAGAATGAACAATAATCTGCTCACTGATTATATGTAAGACAGCTTCCTCGAATCCTGGTGTTTTGTGAGGATGGATCTACACCAGACTGACCCCTGGTGTGGTTTTCATAGCCTCCTATCCACTGAGGAGGTGGGAGGCCATCCCAACCACCAGCAGCCCCAAACATGTTTTGATGTTGCCATCCATACCATGTCCTACTGTTCTGTTTGTTGCAAAAAAAAAAAATCCAGCCACAATGTTGGGCCTGGCAGTTGGCTATTGCATGCAGCAAAGTGAGTCAATGCAACAGGATGACATGTGAAGAAGGGAGAAAGGAAGGGCAGATAAATCACCCCCTCTTCTCCCACTTTTTTTACCTTGTTGCCCCTTCTGATGTGACTGGAGATGACAGCTGACCAGTAGGACCCATGTCATGCTCAGATACCATGCAAAACAGAGAACAGAAGCTGATAAGTGCCACCTCATGCCCTCAGCTACTGGAGCCCAGTAAATGGGATGTCAATGTAAATGGTCACAACCAATTCTGTTTTGGAACTGGCCCAACTGTTTAGATGCTTCCAAAGTCATGGCATACTCCAAATTCTGGACCAGAATTTAGCATATCCTGCAACTTTTGTTAACATGGCCAATATGGAACTTGTCCCGGGGTCCTTCACATTACGTATAGATGTGCCGTGAGTGCCTCTTAAAGTGAACTGTCTTGGAAATGGCAAAATAATAAAGAAAGAGGCAGTATACTCAAATGTCTTACATACCTCCACAGAATATATCCAAGTTGTCTGTAGAATTAGTATTCATTTATTTAAAGAAATTATACCCTCCTCTTAAATA